CTGTTTCGACGTATAAGTTACATTTTTTATGTGTTGCCAAAGCTCTTACTATTTTTACCCGCCCGATGTAACGCGCCTTTATCGTAATCGATTTTAATCTTTTTCAGCAAATTATTGCAAAAGTTCCTGTATCTTTTGTATGTTAATTGTAGATCAAAATTATCAGGAAAACGTTTTGCTCTATGATGTAGTTTGTCCCGGTGTCTTATACATCTAACAAGCCCAGGCGTAATCCATGGCTTTATGTTATAATGTCTATTATTAGTTTTTATAACTGTGGTATTACGACGAATAGCTTGTTCAACATTATTTATTAAATACGACATCGAGACGTTGACATCAGCAGAATTATAAATCGGTGCAAAGTCGGTATTGCGTAAATCATGTTCGAGTTTTTTAGGTTTAATTGTGACCTAGTTTGGTGACGATTTTGCTTCGGAAGCGTGAAGTTAAGGATAAGCAGAACGGCATGATGATCGGTTAATGTAGAGTTAGTAACAAGGCTAATATAGTTTGAGTTGGTTTTAACCATCATGTGATCCAGACAGGAACCACTTTGATGTGTTGCCAATTTATGAGCAGCGAGGAGTCCATGAAATGCACATAAATTAAGGTAATCCTGTATTCCTGCATCAGAATTCTCAGAGTTGATATTAATGTTTATGTCACCTGTTAGTACAATATTTCTAAAGGAGGTTAGTTTTTCACATGTCTGGTTTAAGGAATTGAGAAAGGAATCTAAATTTCTAGTGGAAGGTGGCCTGTAAACAGCTATTATTGCTGTAATTGTATCTACCTTAATGACCAAACAATTGCATCCTGGTGTATTAGGTTCCTCTACAGTAACTCTTAATGAATCTTTGGCATAGACAACCACTCCTTCATTTTGGCTAGTATTCATAGTATTACAAAAAGAGTTATATCCCTGAATATCAGGTAGGTTAACGCATCTACTTTTAAGCCAACACTCTGTTAGTATGATTATGTCACATGAGAAGTTGAGTCTACCTAAAAGAACATGAAAATTATCTATATTTTTGTATAAGCTACGAATGTTTTGGGTGAGAACAGTTAGTGACTTTGAGAAGTTGGATACATAGCTTTTGCAATCTTCAACCTCACAGGAAGTGGATATGTTTGAAAAGGAGTCGTCAATTCATTAATTAAGTTAATGGCCATTTAACAAGTAAACTTAGATCTAAGATTAAGAAAAAAGAGTGGCGCTCTTAGGCGCCTTCATAATTTACCGAATTCATGTACCTATTTTCTGCTGCTTTTTTGGCCGGGCAGTCAATATCACCAGTTTGATGGTTGCTCGGCTTTTTGAAGCGGGCGCAAGTAGCGCACTTCGGCGGAGCTCCTTTCTTAGGGCAGTCTTTGATAGAGTGGCCCTCATCTCCGCAGTGACCACATGTTGGAGCGGCAGCCTGGCACGACTTGGCTGCATGACCATACTGCTGGCAGTTGTAGCATCTGGTCACTATAGTGAAGTCTCTCACAGGGCAGGATGTCCAGTTGATGAACACTCTATCTTGCGTTATAAGGGCTTTACGTAGGGCGGCTGAAACTTCAATGATAAGTTGCAGTGGTCGGCGTCTCTCCTTCCTGATTTATGGCTTAATTTTATTGAAGCCAGGAAGGCATCACGGGACAAACTGGGAAGCTTTTCAGCAACGTTTTGTTCAAAAATACATTTGAACACTTCCGGCTCAGCCATTGAGGTCGGGATTCCTAAAACAATTAGTCGCGGATTACGTTTTTCGGCTCATCAACGGTAAGTCCTGTGGAGGAGAGCTGGACTGATTTCTTCAGCTTTTCCAAGTCCTCTTTTGTTTCAGTGCTAATAATGACACCGCCGTTACGTATCTTGCGAACGCCACGTACTTTTAGATTGATGTCTCCTGGGCTAATGGCTTTTTGTACAATGTTCTTAGTTTCGTCGCTGTCTTTGATTTATCACTAGGATAAATTGCAACAGAGCTTAAGGGGCTTGGACGTACAAAGTTGTTGGCACCTTTTTTCACCATGTCGGCAAAAGAGCTATTTTGTGGCACGGATTTAGAGCAGGACTCTTTTATCGTCTCTTTAATTTGCGTTAAAGAAACAGCAAGGTCATCTTTTTCCTTGAGGTCCTGTAAGGCATAGTGTTGGATCAATGCCTTATTTTTCAGGGCTTGGTATTGCACAGTGACGTGGGTGAAACCTTGGGATACTTTTCGGCAGAGGTTGCTAATTTTCAATTTCTGTTCGGAGTTCAGTTTGCCCTCGGAAGAAATATTGCAGATTTCTTGTAGGTATCTCTCAACTGATCCGGTCCATTGGTGAAGATCTGATGTAGTCACAACTTCTGGAGGGTCAATTTGGGCTGGTTGTTCCCGGCACGGTGTTGTCGGCGGAGGGGTGCGGCGAGTAATCCCGCTCCGGTTGAAGGGGCTGCTGTCCATATTACTCGTCGTTGTACACACTTATTGTCATAATTTCATTTAGTTTGTAGCACTTAACTCACAAAATTAAATTCAAAGTAAATACCAAACTAGGTCACTATTATATTAATTCTTCAATTAAGCAATATTATTTTGCATCGATGTATGTACACGTCTATTCGCGTTTGAAATGGGACCAACCTTGAGGTATTACCTATACGCCGAAAAAAGAATTTTTCAAATCGGTTCATAATTGGCGGAGTAATCGCGTAACAAATATAGAAAAAAAAAACATACGGGTCGAATTGAGAACCTCCTCCTTTTTTTGAAGTCGGTTGAAAAATACACATATTTCTCTTAGGAAAGTATACAAAGGAGAATGGCAGGTTTGCACGGAGGTTAGGTACCGCTATATTTGTTTCTTAGTATATACTACATAGCTTCTGCCAGCTGCTTCACCCGCGTTCCCACAGGATAAAAAGTAGTCTAGGATGTGGTGTTCCAGACCATTATCTACGCCTGTCCCAATTTTCATCCAGATACATTCAGACGTTTTTGTATGAAAGAGTAACACACACGCACACACACATACATACACCCTCAAAACTTTCACATTTAAAATATTAGTAGGATTAATTAAATTGCTTATAATATCTTATTGTGTTAAATTAATAATTGGGTACTTGCCAACAAAGTCAAATTCAATACTGTTTTCGAACTGTCAAAAACGATAGTTTTGTATGAAATTTGTAGATACGAGATTGTGTATTGTGACGTCACGTTTTTTAGCTTCAAACAGTATACTTATTTCTTGAAAAATTTGCTAGAAAAATACTCAAATTAAGTTGATCCTAAAATCAATTATTGAAATTATTTTAAACTAGCTTTTACCCGCAGCTTCGCTCGCGTCACAAAAGGATAAAAAGTAGCCTATGTGACATATACCAATACACAGCGCCATCTATACCAATTCTTTTGTTTTCCCTCGGGAATATCAAATTTTTCCGGGATAAAAATTACCCTATTATTTAATCCAGACTTCTAACTTTACGTCTGCAAAATTTCAAAGCAATCGGTTGAGTAGTTACGGCGTGAAGGTGGAACAAACAAACAAACAAACTCACTTTCAGATTTATAATATTATATATTATAGTAAGGATATTTTATTGTATTGAAAAGCGTGAAAGAACGTTAGCGTTGTGTTTCGCCAGATTTATGAGTGAGTTTACGGGGGTCAATTACCCCCCCCCCCACCCCAATCTCCCCAATCCTTGAATCCCATCATAATCATCATTAACAGCCGAAAGACGTCCACTGTTCTCTGTCGAACGACAACTCGCCACCTGCATCTACTGGCTCCCCGCAACTATGGCGATGTCGTCCGTCCAGCTAGCGGGAGGCCTGCCCACGCTTCATCTTCCGGTTCGTGGTCTCCACTCAAGGCCTTCTTTCCTGGCCCATTCGCCGTCAGTCCGTCGAGTAACGTGGTCTGTCTATTACCACTCTGAATCCCAACAATCCTCAAATTCCTAATCCTCAAAAAGCCGGTAACGCACTTGTAACGCCTCTGGTATTCCAGGTGTCCATGGGCGACGCCGATTGTTTACCATCAGGTGATCCGTCTGTTGTTACCGGCTTATCCCATAAAAAAGGCGCAATTCTTACCCTCTGACATTTCCCTAATACCCAAATCATTATTACTACTTATCTGATATCCAACCCCGAAAAGTCCGGCAACGTGTGTCCATGAGCGTCGCCGATACTTTACCATCAGGTGGACCGTATACTCATTTGCCGGCCTATCGCATAAAAATACGTTTTAGTTGAGATTGTGTAATTGGATGTGAGCTTATTGCCATACCTGGCACAAAGTAGAAGCCGAAAGAAACCCTAATAACCTCGAAACTTCTATTTGCATTCCATAATGTTACATTTATAGGGTTTACGACTTGGGAATTTTGATCATCATCATACATCATCAAGTGTGGGAGAGCCATGCTTCGGCACGAATGGGCCGGCTCGACCGGAGTAATACCACGGCCTCACAGAAAAGCGACGTGAAGCATCACTTGGGTTGTGTTAGTGAGATTAACAGAGGCCCAATTACCCCCTTTCCTAGTCTCCCAAATCCCCAAACTTTGCCCGACCTGGGAATCGAACCTGAGACCCCTTGCCCGGCAATCGCACTTGCGACCACTCGGCCGACGAGGCAGGCTAACCTTAACAATATACTTATAATGAATTTCGTGGGAGCCCAAATCCTTACTATATTAATATTATAAATCGGAAAGTGAGTTTGTTTGTTTGTTTGTTCCACTTTAACGCCGTAACTACTAAACCGATTGCTTTGAAATTTTGCAGACGTAAAATTAAAAGTCCGGATTAAATAATAGGGTACTTTTTATCCCTGAAAAATTTGATATTCCCGAGGGAAAACAAAAATATTGGTATAGATGGCGCTGTGCGTATTGGTATATGTCACATTGGCTTTTTATCCTTTTGTGACGCGAGCGAAGCCGCGGGTAAAAGCTAGTACTATCTAATTTAAAAAACAACCTTTTTTATTTCAATTTTCAGATAAATGCCGCTACAGAAGAACGTCTAACGTACTCAGAAATATTGCAACAATCAATGAATTTCGCCATCTCCCTCACTCGTATGGGTGTTAGAAAGGGAGACACGATTGGTCTGATCTCCGAGAATAGGTTTGAATTCTGGGGGGTGGTTATAGGGGCGGCTTGCGCGGGCGCAGTTGTGTCACCTATTAGCGTAGGATATGTTAAAGGTAAGTACTATTCTATGAGATAGGGCCACAACTGACTGCACAGTTCGTGCGGTGGCTGGGCAACTGGCTGCCGCGCAACGTGTCGCGGGTTCGATTCCCGCACGGAACAACTCTTTGTGTTATCCACAGATTGTTGTTCCGGGTCTGGGTGTCATGTGTATGTGAACTTGTGTCTTTGTAAACGCACCCACGATACAGGAGAAAATCGTAGAGTGGGGCAACGTTTAAAAAAAAAACGAAAAGACCGATCATCTGATGCTGAGCAATCGATGTCACCCTGCTATCATAGCGTTTTTCTAACCTTTAGAAGAAGGAGGAGGATTGGGCTTCACTTACTTCCTTACAATCGCTTGACCTCCACATATCCACATTTGATTGCACAAACCCTTTCCGTCAGAAATTACCCTTATTCTGAGGGGACATATTTTTGAAAACAGCACGTATTTTTTGAGGAGAAAGACTGGGGAATGTATACACATTTGAATTTAGAATTTTTAATTAGAATACTCTAATGCATGGGTGGCCAACCAGTCTATCGCGACTATAAATCCAGGCGATATTGGCAATTAAAAAAAATTAAATACGTACCTACATAGAACACATTGCACAATGATATTACCAACTGCAATAATATTACCAAGAATAATTTGTAGTTTTAAATTTTCCCTCATAATAAAATAAAAGTACTACATAATTGTGTACGATTTATGCTGTTTCATTTCAGATTTTATTTATTTATTTATTTAACACTTTATGTACAACTGCATACAATGGCGGACTTAATGCCGAATGGCATTCTCTACCAGCCAACCATAACCAGATTTTAAGTAATAATATAATTGGTAGATCGTAATAGGTGTCATCAGGGAAAAATGGATCTTGGGTCTAAACAAATTGGCCATCCCTGCTCTAATGGCACTAAAATTATCATCTCAACCTGAAGAGGGCGCCGTGGTCCCCTGAATAAACCAGTTAAAGAGCACCTATTGTGCCACTGTCTACTGCACTTCCCTAGACCCTAGGGTCAAGAAAAATATAAGCAGGCATGATGCTATGTATGTCATTCTGTTTTCCAGGTGAACTTCTGCACGTTACGAACATATCGAAACCAAAATACATAGTCTGTTCGCCGTCACTTTACAAAACACACGCAAAAACGATAGCAACAATGAAATTCGTCAAAAAAGTTATCTTGTTCGGTGGTGAAAAGCAAAATGGGACGCTGTCATACAATGATATGGTTTTAGAGAGCAATGGTTGTATTAAAAATGTGAAGTACGAGGAGTTCCGATGTGTAGAAGTTGCCGGTCAGACTGATACGATGTTTGTCATGTATTCTTCTGGGACGACCGGGCTGCCTAAAGGAGTGATGATCACACATTTGAATATACTGACTTTAATATGTTCGTAAGTATTATTCTATATTTTAAAGTAAATTAGTGTGGGAGAGCCATGCTTCGGCACGAATGGGCCGGCTCGACCGGAGTGATAAATAAATAATAAAATAAATAAATTTTTATTCATAATTCACAAAAAATGCGAAATACAAAAACAGAGCGTAAATACGTACAATTGTCCTCACAATGTTATTTGCCTGCACTAGGACAATCCTGTATCGCAGGCGAGAGGAGTTCTAAATATAATTCTTATAGTAACACATTTTATTTCTACAGACCCGTATACTTAACATTATACAACAGAAAACAATATGATTATTTTAATATACATACATACATATAAAACTAATCTTCATATAAAATATACTATAATATACCTAATAAATATATTAAAATAACAACTAAAGTAACATTTGTTTAAAACAGCAACATTATGTCTATCGACGAGGAATTATCTACATCAGCAGAAATAAACTAAGTAGGCTAACACTAAAGTCCATACGGTCATTCATTTGGTTGTGTTTGAGTAAGCACAAATGCTGGATAGCAACAAAGTGATGATTAATCCGACATAATATGTAGTGTCACTGTTGTGCAATAAGGAGGCCAATCAACTTATGACGCATTACGCGCCTCGTAATCAATCGAGTTGATATACCTGTGCTGAGCTATGTTCTTTGCCGGACATTCTGCGTCACCCGTCTTATGATTGTTGGGCTTATTAAACCGAGAACATGTTGCACATTTAGGGGATTCTCCTTTTTTCGTGCACGCCGGTGTTAAATGGCCTATTTCTCCGCAGTGTCCACATGATGAGGGGCCTCTACATGATTTAGCTGCATGTCCGTACTGTTGACAGTTATAACACCTGGTGACTAATGTAAAATCCCTTACAGGGCAAGAGTTCCAATTTATATATATTCTTTCCTGAGCTATAAGGACCTTGCGAATGTTGGCTGGAACTTCTAAGATAAGGTTACAGGTCGGCGCATCCTTCTTTCCGGATTTGTGGCTCAGTTTAATTGCTGTTAAAAAGGACTCCATGGTCATCTCTGGGAACTTCTCAGCAATGTTTTGCTCGTAGATGTACTTCAATACGTCAGTGTCAACTAAAGAAGTCGGGACGCCTACCACAGTGATTCGTGGCTGGCGTTTTTTGGGCTCACCGATGACAAGACCAGATGACGACTGATGAACTGCCTGCTTGACCTTCTCAGCATCCTGTTTGTTGTCTGTGCTAATTACTATGCCTCCGTTTTGAATTTTTCGGACTCCACGTACGTGTAGCTTCATTTGGTCAGGCCGTATGATTTGTTGTACCAGAGATTTGGTTTCGTCACTGCACTTTACTAATTTACTCACTGGGTAAATTGCAACAGAATTTTGCTTTTGGGGTTGCACAAAATCATTTGGCCCTTTCTTCACCATATCGGCAAAAGAGACGTTCTTAGTTGCGGCAGAGTCGTTGATAGCCTTTTTCAACACCATAATTTCTTCCGCTAGGTCACGTTTTTCTCTAAGGTCGTCAATTATATAGAGGGCTTGTTTCGCTTTCTGCTTCAAAGACTGATACGAGACTGCTATTTGCGATACACCTGATTCTATTTTGCGGCTCAAATTAGTTATTCTTAATTTTTGCTCGGAGTTGAGTTTGCCTTCTGTGGCAATAATGCAGACTTCGTTTAACTGCTTCTCGATGGTTGACATCCATTTTTGGAGTTCCGACGTGGATACCACTTCTATACAGAAGCTAGGTTGCTGGCTTTTCACTTGCGAGGTACAGGCACGGATATTACTGGGACTATTATCCATTTTGTCTTCACTTGATACCACGTTGACGTGATACCACGGCTGAGCAGAAAACCGACGTGAAACAACGGTTGCGTTGTGTTTCGTCGTGTGAGTGAGGTTACCGGAGGCCAAATTAGTCCCTTTCCAGTCTCCCCAATCCCCGAAACCATCCTCAAATTCCCAATTCCAAAAAGGTCGGTAACACACTTTTAACGCCTCTGGTGTTCCAGGTGTCTATGGGCGACGCCGATTGCTTATCATCAGGTGATCCGTCTGCTCGTTTACCGGCTTATCCCATGAAAAAATATGAATGTCGATTGAATCTTATTGACAACTAGAGTCTGGTAGGCTATTCTGTAACTTTCGACATTTCTGATTTATCATTGGTTATAATAGTAACCTCGACCAATGCCGGGCGAACATGAGATCGAGCTCACTTTTAAAGACGACGACTTTTTGACTGCACGGTTGTCGCGGTGGCTAGGCAACTGGCTGCCGCGCAACGTGTCGCGGGTTCAATTCCCGCTCGGAACAATTCTTTGTGTGATCCACAGATTGTTGTTCCGGGTCTGGGTGTCATGCACAGGTGTCATGTGTATGTGAACTTGTATTAAACTGTAGTTAATTGTATGTTTGTAAACGCACCCACAACACAGGAGAAAATCCTAGTGTGGGGCAACGTTTTTATAAAACAAAAGTTCGAATAGATGGTTATAGAATCGCCTAGCCGTATTTAGTTCGTGATCTCTTTCATTAAACTCGTCGTGTCATTATTTCATGGTAGCTCGGAGTTTTAAGACGCCCGTTTCTCATGCATGAGGGTGCGGGCTCAAAACCTACCACCGACAAGTACCAATGTGACTTTTTCCGAGTTATATGTACTTTCTAAGATTATTCAGACACCACTGACAAACGGTGAAGAAAAACATCGTGAAGAAACCTGGGCTTATGACTTCTAATAAAATTATAAGTTTGAAATCAAACTGCACGGTTGGTGGGGTGGCTGGGCAACCGGCTGCCACACAACGTGTAGCGGATTCGATTCCCGCACGCAGCAACTTTTTGTGTGCTCCACAAATTGTTGTTTCGGGTCTGGTGTGAAGGTATGTGAATTTGTAGGTTTGTTACCGCACTCACGATACAGGAGAAAATCCTAGTGTGGCAACATTTTTTTATAATATAACTAGTTTCTGCCCGCGACTTCGTACGCGCAATCCCGATATTTCCCGTTCCCGTTCTTGATTTTCGGTAAAAAGTAAAAAAAAAAATGGGTAAAAAGTATCCTATGTCCGTCTCCTGGTTCTAAGCTACCTCCCCACCAATTTTCATCCAAATCGATTCAGCCATTCTTGAGTTATAAATAGTGTAACTAACACGACTTTCTTTTATATATATAGATATATAATAACCATCTGAATGTATCTAATAGTAATGTAAAATAGTGTCTTAAAATAATATTTATCTCTACCTTTCAGACGCAGTGTCGCCGACCCATCGACAGCATTAATCTCCTTGTCTCCTTGGTTTCATGCTATGGGTTTTGCAGGGTGCCTAAACGGCTTATCAAACGGTGTATGCTTTATCTTCCTGGCTAAATTCGAAATCGACCTATACCTGCGAACTATTGAGAAGTATAAGGTAAGATTTTATGGATTTGTTAGATTAAGCTACACTGATCAAAGTCTACACAGTTATTTGACATTTCATTTTTAAGGGGGGAAAATCATCGAATGACTCTCGCCTGGGTGAGCCTGAGGGAGTGTCAGACTCAAAGTCTACACAGTTATTTGACATTTCGTTTTTAAGGGGGGGAAAATCATCGAATGACTCCCGCCTCTTACTGATTAAAAACCACCCCGTTCGTATTCCTGCACTTTGAGCCGGAACCGCGGTAACCGTTTACGTTCTCCGCGCCAGTTATTTGGCATACGGATACGAAAATGAAACTTCATTTAGTACTGAGACAGTAACTATTAGTCGGCTCAATAGTTCAGATATGGCTATATTAAAAACTATATTATAGAGTAACAGTGTAACTACTGTCTGTACTGAGTTTATGGGCTAAGCTAAGCCGGTAAACAAGCAGACAGATCACCTGATGGTAAGCAATCGGCGTCGCCCATAGACACCCGAAGCACCAGAAGCGTTACGAGTGCGTTACCGGAATTTTGAGGATTAGGAATTTGAAGATTGTTGGGGATTCGTGAATTGGGAAGATTGGGAAGGGGGGTAATGGGGCCTCCGGTAACCTCACTCACACGACGAAACACAACACAAGCGTTGATTCACGTCAGATTTTTGTAAGGCCGCGGTATCACTCCGGTCGAGCCAGTCCATTCGTTCTGAAGTATGACCCACACTTAGATTCTTACCTGCACACCAAATAACTGTGCAGACTATACGCCAGCAATATCAGACGTATTATAGGTGCCTTATTAAGACCTTAAACTTGGAATAATTCCAGGTAGCTCAAATAACAGTGGTCCCGCCGATCCTAGTAGCTATCTGTAAGGACCAGACCAAGAAATATGACCTCAGTTCTGTGCGGTTCGTTATATCTGGAGCTGCACCATTACGAAAAGACATCATCGCTGCAGCACATGTAAAGTAAGTTTACTTATGAAATGTAAAGAAGGCTATGCTTCTAGTGGTGTAGGAAGATCTATTACAAGACCTAGGCTAGGCTCATAGGCTCACCTCCTCTTACAGGGGACTTATAATTGGGATGATGAGAGAGTATGAAAATTAAAAATATTATTAGTCCGTAAGTTAGGTAATGAAAAAATATTAGACACGTATTTTTTTATTTTGTCGTATAAGAAAATAATAATTTGATAAAACGAATCAAAATTTAGAAGTGGGGGCTAAAACGTCATTTCTACGTATAAAATGTACATAGAAGTGACGTCACGCGACATTTTAAATCAATATATCGTCGAAAGTATTCGTTTCTTTTTTTCTTTTTTGTGGAGTAGGAGGCTAACGAGTAGACGGGTCACCTGATGGTAAGCGATCAGCGCCGCCTATGGACACCCGCAACACCAGAGGAGTCACAGGTGCGTTTCAGTAAGAAAATAAAAAATACGTGTTAGTCACGTATGATTTAAAATAATCTACTAGGCGGACATTAAAATAAAAATTAGGCATCTACCCTATTATATATAGGTGCAGCGGCCAGCGTATCAACCTTGTCCATGTGTCAATTTTTGTCTTTAGATTTTCGACTTTATGTAAACGATAGAGTTGAAAATCTGTTGATTGACTGGACGGTTGGTGCTGTAATTGGGTGCACGCAATGTTTTGCAGGTTGGGTTCCTGCCCGGAACAACCCTTTGTGTGATCCACATATTGTTGTTCCGGGTCTCAGTGTCATGTGTATGTGACCTTGTATGTTTGTAAATGTACCCACGACACAGGAGAAAATCCTAGTGGGGCAACGTTACAAAAGTATATCAACGTTATAAAGATATTGATTATAGATTGACTTACCGTTCACTGTAAAGTTGGCGGTCGACCATCATTAGGCGATATTCGCATGCACTTAGCGCGAGCGATCACAGGTAAAACAGGGCGCGATGAATATCGATTTTGCCACAGCATATTGTTTTCAGTAAAATTTGGCGGATAATACTAAACTATCTTTGACGTTGTTAATGTCTATTTATGGCATTCCAATCTGATATTTCAGATTCCCCAACCTCGTGATGGTGATGCAAGGCTATGGAGCCACGGAGTTGACGCTAGGAGTCCTAGGTTTCTTCCCAGACAGTCTAAAACTTGACAAGATCGGCAGTGTAGGTGTCATTGTGCCTAATACTGTGTTAAAGGTAAGTAAACTAGTTATAGCAGCTAATAGTATACATATAACCAATCTGCCAATGAACAAAATTAATAAAAAAACAATCAATCAGCTCATTTGTTTCATATAAATAGAACTCGTAACTTGAAATGCAATTCGATTTAAAAAAAACATAATCCAGAAGCCACAAATAGACAAGTCGATATTCGCCCTCGACCTTCACGACAGCATATCCATCCCCATCATGTGTGCGCTTCTCTCGTAGCTATTAGCCTCACATAGCAAAATTGTGAAATGATCGGTCGTCGGCGGTATTTCCGAACCGATATGACCTCCAAACCTTCAAGAAAAGAGCGTATTGCTTTTTAAAGGGCCGGCAACGCACATGTGGCACTTCTGGTGTTGCGAGCTTCCATGGGCGGCGCTGATCGCCTACCATCAGGTGATCCGTTTCCTCGCTTTCCTCCTATTCCATAAAAAAATTTAGGCACCCCCCATTTGCTGTCAGGTTTCAAACACCCATGATCATTCTTTCTTGACATACCCCGTTGATAAAAATCCTTTACCGACAGCCACTAGAAAACTTCACATAAGACATTTTAAACCTGTCTGTTTACCAGGTAGCAGATATAGAAACAGGCAAAGCACTAGGACCTTATCAGCGTGGAGAACTATGCGTAAAAGGAGAAATGCTGATGAAAGGATACCTCGGCAGGGAGAAAGGTGATGAACTGGACGACGAGGGCTTCTACAAGACTGGAGACATTGCATACTATGATGATGACGGCTACTTCTTTATAGTGGATCGACAGAAGGAGCTTATCAAGTATAAAGGGTATCAGGTTGGTGTGACATTTATATTGACACAAAGAAGAAACGTAATAAAATAGGTTTGAGTACAAAAATGGAGGCAATGTGTGATTTTGATGGTTATGTTACGAGACCCGTTGAAAAAGGGGTGAGATGGCTACGTGTTAGCAAAAAAATTGCTATTACTGAAGACTTCGGACTTGAAATAAACTGCACGGTTGTTGCACTGGCTGGGCAACCGCCTGCCATGCAACATGTAGCAAATTCTGTTCCCGCATTGAGCAACAGTTTGTGTGATCCACAAATTGTTGTTTCGGGTCTAGGTGTCATGTGTATGTGAACTTGTAAACGCACCCACCTGCAAAATCATAGTGTGGGGCAACGTTTAAAAAAACTAAAAAAAAATCCAGTTAGGAAACTCTTCAACCATCCTAAGAAACAAAAACCTTTCACCTTATTCCATAATCTTCATCCAGGTACCACCGGCAGAGTTAGAAGGAGTCTTACTGCACCACGAAGGTATCAGAGATGCAGCAGTGATAGGAGTGGAAGACAAAGCTGCAGGGGAGCTGCCTCTAGCATTTGTGGTGCGGCAGCCAGGGTCCAACGTCACGGAGAAGGAGGTCAAAGACTTTGTGGCCGAGAGGGTGAGTGGAGAGAATGTCAAGTCTTTTGATCCTCGAAAAGGTTGACAGAACCAAACATGATGTCGCAGGGAGCTATGGAGAGGGCTATGCTCGGAGTATCTCTGGAGGATAGGATCTGTAACGAGGTGATCCGACAGATAACTAAAGTTACCGATGTAGCCCAAAGGATTAGCAAGCTGAAATGGCAGTGGGCCGGTCACATTTGTCGAAGAACCGATGACCGCTGGAGTAGACGTTTTCTAGAGTGGAGACCGCGTCTAGGCAAACGTAGTGTAGGGCGCCCTCCAGCTAGGTGAAGTGACGATATACGTAAAGTGGCTGGTAGTGGTTGGATGCGTAGAGCTGAAGACCGAGCTCAGTGGCATGCCATTGGAGAGGCTTATGTCCAGCAGTGGACGAAAACAGGCTGTTGATGATGATGATGAAACATGATGTCAGTTTTTATCAGTTATGTTATGAGTCCCGTTTAATTTGGGGCAAACCTATTGTCATTTAACCTCTTATCTGTTGGCATGTGGGACACCGTAGAAAATACATTGTCTCGCGTATCTACGTTCCGACATACTAGGGGTTAAGTGGCATTATTAAAACTCTTTGCTGTTACCGAAAAAATATTGTCACTATATTTATCATTGTTTTACTCAAAGTGTACATTAGATGAAATAGATGGACTTAATGCCTCAGTCATTTTCTCCCAGTATGACCTTTGAGCAAAGCAAAAAACCTCTGCTAAACCACCATCAAGTTTTGATGGACAGCATCTGGCATGACCAGGTTTCGGTAGAGAAAACTCCTCCTCTAGTCGCATTGAGGTCTCTGATACTCCCACGTTTACATCCACAGGTACGTCAGCCTTAAGACCTCGCTCTAGACTTGCCAGTGACCTCTCAATAGGATCAATGTATTGCGACCCATCCATGTTATCTAAGCCATTTCTTGGTTCAATTTTGGGTAGTGCAAAGAAGAGTAAATGGCATTAGCAAGAACCAAAAACGATTTCATTGAACAAACAGAAGAACTATAATCCTTCTGGTGGACTGCAATCATTCTCTATATAAGAAGGATACGATATATATATTTTTTGTGTTATTTCAGTTATCGAACCCGAAACATTTGCGCGGTGGAGTACGGTTTGTAGAAGAAATACCAAAGACACCCAGCGGGAAGATTATGAGAGCGAAATTGAAGAAAATGTTGAATTCTAAGACTAAGAGTAAATTATAAATATCACGCTAATTCCATGAAGCGATGGACAGAGGTGTATCTATTTCGATTTAGTGTTTGCCTGTTTTGTTATCAATTATCCGCTCCACTTTTGAGGAAACGCACCCTTAGTCGAGTCGAGAACACAGAGTTATTTATTCTGGACTTCATGTTATCCAGAATTCTCGATTTTGTTATAAAATCACGATAATAGTTTATTCGAATTCGACCCTGGAATTGGACTTGAAACTTAGGCCCGTATTAATAAACCGATATCAGCGTAAGAGTGAGATGTTAAGATCCTGTTTGATATTCCGACATATTAATAAACAAAACCTAATACGCGGTTTAAGACCTTGTCATCACCTGAGATCGTATTGTTTAATAAACATTACTCGGGTTTCAAGATCGGTATTAGGACGGTTATCAAGACCCCGATTGTTAAGTTCAGTCGACCCTGGACTTAATATCGTGAACTCGTACCTAAGTATTTCGCGGGAACCATGAATATTGAGAATATTATTTCCGAAATCAATTATTATGATGAAGTCGCCTAATACGATGATATTTTATGGCCTTTTCAAAATCTATTAAGTACCTACCTAAAGTTTATATAAGGGACGCGACAAATCCCTTCGAATTACCTACGCAAAACGGTTTCGATTTAATCAAGAATCAGTGCTGTTGATATCGTATCGTTGATAAGTAATAATTTGGTAAAAGTGATAACAGAGGACTGCACCAGAAATTGCAGTCTTGCTTACTTTGAGGTTTTACGCTACAGCATCCTTTCAGGTAAATTATTTTGATCAATTCATTGTATACATAGAAAAGTTAAATTTGTTATGTATGTTAAACGATTTATTAATAATGAAAAAACTTTCAATTTGTGTGCGGGGATCTCATTTATTTATCTCAGCCTACAGTATCAAACGTCGTTAGAAAAGTATCACGACTGCTAGCATTACTCCATAAAACCTATATTAAAATATTAATAAGTAACATAACATCACGCCTTTTATCCCCGAAGGGGTAAGCAGAAGTGCACATTATGCCACTGTAAGAAAAATGTAACACCCACATTTCACTATTTATGTTTGAGTCCCATGTAATAGGGGGTGAGCCTATTGCCATATACTGGGCACAATCCAGACTCCGTGCTACTACTGATAATATTTTAAAACCCCAGCAGTACTTTGCCCGACCCGGGAATCGAACCCGAGACCCCTTGCCCGGCAGTCGCACTTGCGACCACTCGGCCAACGAGGCAGTCGATTAATAAGTAACTTGTAAATAAACACGAAACACTGATATGTATGATTGTATTATCAAGTACCTAATAAACAATTGAGAGAAAGAGACAGATATAATATTGAGGTGACGCGCAATCCCTGGTAGGTATGTGCTTTTGTCACAAAATTAAACGTAACTTTATAACAAATAGTGTTTTTTTATGGTCAAACAAATCATAATGTATACAATATAAAAAAAATATAGTTTCCTAAAACTTCGATCAATTTAAACTGGAAAAAAACTTTTATTCCTATGCATACAGAGTTAAATATTATTGTTCTACAAAGCTATTACTAAACGGAATGAACGAAAGATGTAATAGTTCGTTCGCTGTGACGTAACAAGTCTTAACATCAGGATTTCATTGAGTGTCAAATTACGAATCTTGATAACCCGATCCAAACCGCGGTATCACCTGAGATCGTGTGGATATAGGTTTATTAATTAGCGTCGACATTAAGATGCTGATCGCATCTTGAGAACGTATCAACTGATGCCGGTCTTGATATCGTGATTGAGACTTATTTATTAATACGGGCCTTAGTGATCAACTCGTCTAACGAGATCAATGACTTTCAAGTTTTCATGTATGGGTTTAAAACAATACACCTTTGCCTGCCTTTTCTGTAGAAAAATAAGGATTTTTTTATTAAGGGGTGAAAATCATCGAATGACTTCTCCCGCCTGGGCGAGGCGGGAGGGAGTGTCAGACTCTTACTGACTAAAAACCACCCCGTTTCTTCTCCTGCACGTCGAGCCGGAGCCCCGGTAACCCGTTAGGTTCTCCGCGACTCCGAATCGGCATCGGTTCCTGTTGGGCCCTATCTGTGGTGGTCTGAAGGGATAAGTCATTGTTAATCTTTGATACTCAATCAAAATCAGTATACAGATACATCGTGAAATCTATTTTGTTTTCGTCCCGTGGTAAAAAAACTTGCCATAAGGAGCACTTTCGATGTATAAAGCAAAAATAAAAAAATAAACCTAAAATTATTTTTAGTTTAAAAAATAATCATGGAAATACGCACACGAAACACTGGACGTAAATTTGTAGACACTATTGACTTTGTACGTGCCACTCGACAAGAAATACCTCTTCGAGAATTACATGGCGTGGTGTTTTGATAATGTACTATGAGTTCGTATGCGCTTTCGAAGTTTGCTCCTTGCAATGGTTCACCAGTTATTTGTAGTTTGAAACATTTTATTTCTTTGTAAAACTATTGTATTACCAAGACAGAACAATTTAACTTCTGGACGAAAACGATATAGATTTCACGGTATAAAGAATGTAAGTCTTATTGTTAAAGTTATAAATTAATTATTATTAAAATAAAACAATTTTTTTTAATATTTTAATTTTATTTATTTCCTGTCTTTCCCTCACCTAATAATTGTCAGAAATCAAATTACATGAGTAATATTCCTAAGAATTTCAAATTCTAATATTCATAATACATATTATGATTAAGTAAGTTCGTACACATGATTCACAACTCAGGGTCTAATTTAGTATGATGACATTTTATGATTTTATGATCTCTTTCGTAAAGAGAAACGAGTTTCTAATTAGAATAATATCTGATAGCATAATGTGTCGATTTCAAGAGGACACTCTGTAATAGGTGCAGAAAGAAGAAGCAAGGAAAGACAGAGGTCCAAAATAGGGAAACACATTTCGACAATATTATCATCTCGTCGTACGGACCTTGTGGAATCTAGAAAAAAGCAAAGCGTGCATTTAGGTGCTTTTGCCATACCTACTATTGGTTCTCCCAGTTGTACAGTCTCTTTTTGTGCCTTCAAGTTTAATTCATTCTGTCTCATGCAGTAATTCACATAAGAAGAAACTATAGTTTTTAATTTTTATATTCTCCTCTTATAATATAATATAATATAACATAACATCACGCCTTTTTATTCCCGAAGGGGTAGGCAGAGGTGCACACAGAAGTAACACCCACTTTCCACTATTTATGTTATGAGTCCCATGTAATAGGGGGGAGCCTATTGCCATATACTGGGCACATTCATTTTCCAGACTCCGTGCTACTACTGAGATTTTTTAAAAAAAAAGCCCAGTAGTACTTTGCCCGACCCGGGAATCGAACCCGAGACCCCTTGCCCAGACCCAGTCGCACTTGCGACCACTCTGCCAACGAGGCAGTCTTATAATATCTTCTGATTTATTCGTTGCGGCTTCCAAGACAGTTATTCATGTCCATAGGACGCGCCGGACTTCAATGTTCCGGTGTTTTCATGGTTGTTATTTACTGTAGATCATGGCTTACAGGAGTGGCAGCGGTTTTGGGAGGTTACGGAGAGCTTGCCCATTAAAAAAATATGTTATATCACATCGTGACATGAATTTATATTACATCCTTATCCTTAACGGTCACGCTACCTCACCACAGTCAAAACAGTTGTGAACGTGTTTTTGTGACATAAGGATGTGCCACTATCCTCCTTCTAAAAAAACGAAATAACCGTTTGAATAACACAGTAGACTTGAAAGGTGTTATGTACCAACGTATTACTAAAAGGTTACGTAAACATTTCACTAAACTTGACTCTCAAAAATATTCGTCATTCGCTCCCCTCGAGCCGTGGCGAGCACAGATCAATTTACTTTCAGTTTTATCGACGATTCGACGAACCATTAACAACGGTTCGTCGAACGATTCAAATTTTTAAACAATCAAACGTTGTTCTTAAGTGTTGCTATACACAAAAAAACATGTATTTTTTAACAAAAGTGCCAGTGTTTCTGCTTCTACTTATCAGTGATTCAATCTGTGATATCGATTTAGATGTAGTCAATAAGAATTTGTACGATTCAAAAAATTTTCTGCACAAAAACACTAATGCGGTTCTATCGAGGATTTTAGAAGAGCACAAGTTTAATTCAGACGTCGTTAATAGTGTTGGGACTAACAGTGATGTAGTGAACAATTACGAAGATATAACGATTCTTGATGACAATGGTAAATTGAAAAATTTGAAGTTCAAATCCGCAGCGCCTAAACAGCCGGTTGATTTGATACACAGTGATTTGACTTTGACTAAAGTGAATCAAATTGAAGTGCCAGTTACTGAACAATATGAGGACGAAGTGAAGTTTGAAGCTGTCGGTCAAAAACCGAAATTTTTCGACGAATTAAGTTCGTTGGGATGTAAGTACAGACTTAATAATAACTCATATTCAATATGAAGAATGATATGAAATAAAATGAATTATTAATTACTAGCTTTTACTCGCGACTTCGCTCGCGTCACAAAAGGATAAAAAGTAGCCTATGTGACATATAAGTACCAATACACACAGCGCCATCTATACCAATACTTTTGTTTTCCCTCGAGAATATCAAATCTTTCCGGGATAAAAAGTACCCTATTATTTAATCCGGACTTCTAAATTTACGTCTGCAAAAATTCAAAGCAATCGGTATAGTAGTTACGGCGTGAAAGTGAAACAAACAAACAAACAAACTCACTTTCAGATTTATAATATTATAATAATAATAATAACGTAACTACCCCTTATCTGGTTTCTTACAAATATTTCCATCCAAAGGTTGTCTGGAAGAAATCACCATTGTGTGATAAGACCGCCCATTGTACGCATATTTACTTGAATTGTTTGTTTTAAACTACATAAATGTGTACAATAAAGCATATATAAATAAATAAATAAATAAATAATAGTAACGATGTTGTCAACTTACACA